ATAATACCTAAGTTATCACTCTCTTGCATTTATGTCCACTGGTTAGCAACACGTGCGATAACGAGAAGTTTTGTAGTTATATCTTAAAGTATGAAAAAATATATATATAAGATCGTTACAAATTATAACGAAAACTTCATTTTATATGAGCGACTGATGAAATCACTGCTTAGGCGAACTGTAGTAGTAGTTGATCGTCACTTAAGCTATTGTTGATAGCAACAATTATGCTCAAGATGAAAATATGGATAATATCAAAAAGAAACTGTGAGAATGAAAGAAGAAAAAGTTAGAAAATTTTAATAGGTAATTAGTGAAAATATTTTGAGAGTGCAAAAGATAGGTTTAGCGCAAAAAAAGAAAAAAAATCTAGAGAGAAAGAAGAGTAAAGAATATATATATATATATATATATATATATATATATATATAGTTGAAATTATTGTACAAAGAAGTCATTTTATAGCAGTGAAAAATGAAAGAGTTCCAAAACTCTTGAAATTCTAAAATTTTTTATATTAAAAAATTAAATATAATAAAAGATTATAATTATTACGACTAATTTGAGTTAAAACAAAACTTTCTATATTACATTTTATGATTTAAATTAAATCAATATAATTTAATAATTATTCATAATTAATTATGAGGGACATTTTAAATTTAAAATTTCATAGAGAAATAAAATTATCCAAATATATTTTATAAAAAATAAGTAGATTTTTTTAATCTATTTTAGCTAGTTATAAATTTATAATTATTTTTTAAAATAAATTGACAAAACATTTTTATATTGAAACTTTCACTTCTTTTTTATCAACTCATTTCAACTTATGAATGGATCTTATTATTATTTTAATATATTTCATTTTTTTTATTTGTCTAAACATAATCATTTAACCATTAAAACATAGGAAATTGCAGTGTGTAGCAAAAGTCTTTTATATATTTCAAAATATTTCACTCTGTTTTTAAAATTTTCAAATATAACACAAATTTTCACTCATATCAATAGTATATCAGACATTTATATCAGTATTATATTAGACACTCATATCAGTAGTATATCAAATATATATCACATACATATTACACTGACACTCAAATCAGTAGTATATCAAATGTATATCACATAGATATATCAGTAGTTAGATATATTATAAATATAATATATATATAT